AGCGGTGGGTTGACACACACTATCGCACGATCCACACGTCTGCTAGACTATGAGGACATTAAATCAACCGCCCGAATGCTTACAACGGACCATCATAATACCTTTTGGCACAATAGCTGTTCTACCTCGTGTTGATGATGCTTGGAATTTTACGTCAGGTAAATAAATTAATGAGAAGCGTGAAGATTTTATCGCATTTAGTTTGTGAAATACTGTAAGCCGTATCGACGGTACCCATCCACTGAGGTTGCAGATGACACCAAACCCTCTTGATGGGCACCTCAGGAGTAGATGGCCAGAATACTGATCTCGTGATTACATTACCTTAACGGGCACCGTGACATGTGAACAATGTAATCAGCATCTCCATTGCTTAATAATTTCCCTTTCTGTTTGAACTAAGAGCGGATTAAATGCATCGATCGCCAGATTTTGTTCCAAAACACGGGAGGGGCAGGCCAGCATTTCTTGGGTGACCGTACAAACTTTTTAGTATTGACACACGCCCATTCTACGCAAATACATGCCACTAGATCAACGGTTAACTATAGTGCGTTTAGATGCAATACATACATCGTTCCTTTATTATAACAGTAGATGCTGTCTGATGATACACCAGCTGCCAGCTAAGTGAGAGCAAACGACAGAGATATGGCATTGACTGCATACATGATGCATCGACCAGATATGTCGTAAAACAGACCTAAAGGATCATATTTCCTTGGACTGGACCTTTCAAGTCTTTCAGAACGCTGCCGTTAAGAACCAGCCAACGAGAATTCCATTGCGATTCGGTTTCAGCGTGGGTATTGATGTCACGCCGTGGTTCTCGGAGAGCCCGCTAGATAATAGTGTATGGCATTCAAGGCCTTCCTGATGGCTGTCGTTATCTATAATACGCTGTTCTGTATACAGCTAATATCGCATAAGATGGTGGGTAGCTCTAACAAGACAGGTAGATCAGAAGGTGTTTCGACCGTAAGCCCTCCTCATTGCTGTGAACGTGTACGTCTGCTGTTTCCTTATTCTCATTAGAGCTAACTTCCGCCGTAAACCGCACACAGACCGACAGTCGACAAAAAAGCCGTTTTGTATTGTTGAAAGCCACATCGGGGTCTCTCACAGCACATTTTCATTCAAAGGGATTCGCGGAACCAGAGCTGTTGACGAGACGCGAATAACCAATGCCAGCTCATTTGCCATTGAAACCCAATAACTGGCTGACTAAAGCTGTGACGAGCTTAGCAAGTGGACGGCGGGGGTCAAAAGTTCAATTTTCCCGTACACGTGAAAATAATCCCAAGACGGACGTCGTGCGTTTAGGGAAGCCATTTAGAGACGTTGGAGCTGACTCTATAGCATCACTCGCATCGCAGAGGACGTTTTTGTCTGATACCAATGGACTATCAGCTGGGGTGAAAGGCATTTCCAAGAGAGCGGCCAAGCAAAATAGGTTCGTGGACTGGTTACACTTAGCAGACGTCTAGATAGGTGACCTTTCCCCCATCCACTAAACAACAACAAAAACCAAAAGTACCAGTGACTTCAAAACTTTGATCCACAGGACTGAAAGCAGAGCTTTCGTTGGACATTCACTTCCACACGTTTCGAAACTTCAGAAGCGCAAGCAAGAGTGACATTGCAAGATTCGGAGCCGGCACTGGAATCAGAGTCGACAGGCAGTTTGCCTTTGCCTTGCCTTTTTGGTTTGCGCTTGCTGACGCAAAATATCGACAGAGGGCCGCAAAAGGCTGAATTCCTGAAGCAGAGTTTTGGCTTCTGACAACGCCGCGTTCTGTGTCCGATTTCCAGACTTTCGTTTTCGTTTGTCACTGAAGACATTCGAATGTTGCGATCCGACGCAATGTTCCGTAATCGGACACGTCTGCATGCGTGGCACGAGCCGTGTGATCCACATTCGCGCAACTGATATTATCATTGATTATCCAATATGCGAGATGAACAATGCAGTGAACGGCTGGGTTATGTGCAGCACATGTAGGGTTATCTATGGATTATCTATGCTA